AATAAAATTCTTGGTCATTAGACAGCACATTTAATAATTGGAAAGTAGTTGGAAAACGGTTCAATTACTTGTTCAGCTCTATAAGCAACGTCCCAAACACTGAAATTTCCAAATTGAATCAGAGCAATTTTTCCTTGAATATTCCATTCGGTATTATTATCAAGAGGGTCTTTTATTTCAACAACTTTTTGAGAAACTAAACTTGCTGCTTGGCCGCCATCTCGCATACCTAATTAAAAAAAGGAGAAAAAAATAATTGTCTTTATAAAATTGACACAAAAACATGTGCTACAGATTCTAAATTTGATATGTAAATACTCACTCCAAAAATCAATACCACCTTGAAACACAACTATTTCATCAGTGCCACCAAAAGAGACGTTCAACTCTGCCTCTTTTTCTTTCTCCCAAATGGGTACTTTAAAATATTGTAATTTCACATCACAACTGGTTTTATTAATTAAAGTATTTATAATATATTCAGCTGATGCATTATATCCATTTGTTATTGAGCGAGAGTTATTTGAATTTTTTGCAATTTCATTTAATGCTTTTAAGTGAGAAAATATATTTGGAGTTAATTCTTTAGGCCAAGGTTCAATTGGGTGAGCTTTATTAACAAATTTTTTTTTTTGAAAAAAGGTTAAAATTAGAAAAATAAAGATATAACCGAGTTTAATAAATAGATGAGTTTAGCTTACGAGTATTGTGCGGTACGAATATGACAAATAAGACAAACCCAAGAATTAATATAAAAAATGCGATGAGACCCAATGGAAATTTCCTAAAACGCCTCTCACTTCTGTTAGACGGTTGGTCTTTTTTTCAAATATACATAATCAAAAACATGAATGAACATATTGCGTTAATAAGAGATGAACTTAAGTTACCAATATCATCACTCTCAATATTAAGTAAAGGGGATTGTTCAGTAGCCATTTCTTGTAAAGCAAAGAACGAATGAAACAATAAAGAATTTAACTTTGTGATTAAAGTACGTACATGGTTGAGTGTTAAAAGTGTGTGAAGATCCGAAAATCTGGAACTTAACCCGTGATAGTAAAACGTGGGGAGTAGGTTTTTTTTTTAGGCTTCTCGATTTTTAACGTTAAACACATGCTCAAAAGCCTTATTCCAAATTAATGAAGAAAAAGAGAATCAAGTACTTGGTAATGGTAACATGATTTGTACAAATGAACATGACTGTAACACAATAATAGCAAATTAATACAAAGAATTTGATATTAACATAATTAGTTAAATTTCATTTCAATCGTCATAACCTTATTTTTCACAACAAACTTGGGGCTGATATATTTTTTCATCTAATTCTAGCACATTATCATCTAAATTAACCCATCTTGTTCCAATTTGCACAGTATACAGTATTTATTCATCTTAATACTAATAATATAAATTACATTTTATCTACTTGCCTGAAATAATTCGTAAGCTCAAATGAATATGTAAGTTATATGATTTGGTGTCACCTCGTTGAGTTGCTATATAAATAAAATTATAAATAATATTATTACATAATAATATTATGTTGTTTATAAATTAATACATATTAGGGTAATTATAATTATACAGGGTGAAGAATTCGTTTTTACGACGTTTCCTTTCGTAATATGTATATATGCGGATCAACGTAGTTTCACCAATCCTTGTGTGTGTATTAAGCCACATAGTTTTAGCCGACTGGCACAGCCAGCTGACTAAAATAACTTAACTCTTCGAAATTTTCGTAATCCTTTTGCTATTTTATAAGCATATGATTTTTAGCCGCATTAGCTAGCCTCGAACATATTATATCGGCTGGCTTAGCCCGTTTAGGCTGCGGCTGCTTTAGCTAGCTTAGCTAGCTTAAAACACTACGTATCGGTATGTGATTTGTGATGCTGCCGTTTAACGATAAATAGTGCTACATACATATATGTTTGTAAGTGGGAACGGGAACGGACTTGGAATTTCTTAATAAAATTATAATTTTGGGGTAGGGTTTGTTCTATATAAACCTATACCCTAACCCTAAAATTCTAAGAATTTCCACTTACATGTATGTACCAGAATTTGAATTTATATTAGCAAATATAATTTTTATTCAAAATAGAGATGAGCGCATACATATGATACATTAAGAATCCTCAATGAGACGCTAATGGAGATTGAGAGTAAAGAACCTAGATAAGAAACAAGAATGTATACAAAGGAATGCATAAATAGTAATAAATTTATATACTTAATGTAAGACGGTCACAATGTTCAAGTTCATTATAGATTGTGTTAGGTACTCAAGCCATTTAGGTATCTAAAAAATATTCTAAAAGAATTGTCTATGAAATTACGTAATATATATATAATATTTACTACATTATTACGGCCTATAACAGATTAAAATCCTTGCTACTTAAATTACGACCTACGTAAATATTACAAAAGTTGCGGCTTTAGTAGTGAAAGTCGCAACTCCGTTATCTCGCACGTTTACTAATTTCTCCCCCACTTCTGATTGGTTCTACTAATTATTCACATATCGGAGTACCTGTGTAATTTTATAGTGAAGTAGGGAGGGGGGGGGGGGGAGAAATTAGTAAACTCGTTATCGCCGTAATTTACTGTATGTAAAAAAAATTTTTGTTACGTACAAGACTTGCCATAATGGCATCAAGTATGTGATGACTATTTATATTTAGTATATTTATACCTTTTAAGGCCTAAAATTTGTAAGCTTATTTTACACTTAAGACTTTTTAACTGATTTAAAGGCCCCCATTTAGGGTTGTCAATGGAGTAGCTTACTCCGGAGCACTCCGGAGTAGAACAACCCAAGTTGGAGTGGGTTTAAAATTATGCTTCAAATTTGGAACAACCTGGAGCAACCCGGAGTACTATGTAGCAAAACGTTGGAGTAAGTCTAATTTAGTGGAGTGGGTTGAAGATTGGGTCAACCCATTAGCAACCCAACCCCCATTGTTCATATATCAGTTAATAATTTCTCAAGTCAGCAATTGATTCATTATACCTTTTTATTATATAATTAATCTTTCTTGATATCTTAATGCCGTTGTATTATCTGGTTCGATTTCTAATAGTCTAGTGAAATCTTCAAATGCATTATCAATTATCATATTTCCCATAATAAAATATATTTTTCCTCTATAGCTTAATTCATACGTATTAATTTGCTTTGTTTCTAATGATTTGGTTAATTCATTTATTAGATTAACCAGCATTTTTTCATATCCGCTTATGATGAAATAAACCTTTTTTGATACTCCAATGCTAGTGCGTTATATGATTTATTGTTAACATCTTCATTGCTATGATTACAAAAATAGACATATTGATGAAATAAATTCTTGATAAACGAAACGATTCGATTAAACCCTTTTAATATATTTAAAATTTTCATGGCCAAAATTTCACTTTTATTGACTCGCCTTGCGATCTAAATCCAACGCAAGGATATAGAATGTCTTTAAATTTTTCAGGTAGATGGCATGCTTCTTTAAATGCGCTATAAGTAAATATTAAATTTGCCACCTAATTTACTACCTAATTAATTTCTAAAGTGTTAATTACCTAAGTTGACCCTAAATTTTAAATAACATCCGACTGTATTGCCAGTAGTACTGTATATGGTGGTCCGTATGACTCGACACTTCCAGCATAGCAAAAATATTTATCGTCACCCTGGTAACCACTCTCCCACGATTCATCGATTTATTTTCCTTATTATTGCAATCATCCTTATTATCTTTATTATCCTTATATTTGTTCTAAGGAATTTTTATTTATAGGTTTTAATCTACAATAATAAAATAAAATAAAAATCTATATATTACTAGGTATGATCATGTTATTTATATAATCAAAGTCTATTTTTTTATCGCTTTGCTTTGTGCAAGATCCGACTCCAATTCTATTAATAAATTGAGCGATGATTATAGAAAAATTACAAGTAAAGCAGAATGGTAATCTTTATAACATGAAATAATTATTAATCATCAGCAAGTACAATTTTTATAAGATTTTATTAGCTCTATACGGTATATAAATATTATATAAATTTTTTTTTTTTTAAATAAATTTCATTTATATCTACATAAAAATAATTTAATTTACTTTAGCTATATATTTCTCAAAAGTGATTAAGGTAATCACTAAGTAAAAATGTTCAGCATGCTCGAAACCCTTCCCCAAACCTTAATTCAACCATTAAAATCTAATCCTAGCTTTAATATTTAATTTAAAATTTTGTTGTAATTTTACATAGTTCTATATAAAATATATATAGATTTATATAAATAATTGTGTAAAGTTTTTATAAGATTCAATAAACATTCTACATAACTTTTCATAAAAGTTTTACATAGTTTTACGTATGTAACAATGTACTTGTTGATGAAGATCATTGAATCGAACAAATTATGTCAAAGCAACTGTGTAATTATCGAATACCAGGGATTGAGTGATATTGAAAGTTTCACAAAGTGTATGGCTATGTAATGATTTAGTGGTTTTGCGCCACAAAATCTTACAATTTATTGGATATTATATTATGTTATATTGCGTTATGTAAGGCGTGAGTTCAGATTTGATTTTTTACGTGCCACCGGCTTTGGTTATAATAATTCTTTGTCCAACATGTGCGAATGGCAGACATAAGCTGAAGAACGGGTTGATCAAGATACGTAGACTGGTTGATGAATTTTCATTGGTGAGTCGTGTGATTTGGACTTTTATATCGCAAGGGTTGACAATAATATATGCGCGCCGTAACTTTTAAGAGTCATGCGGATGATCTTGAAAGATAATGCAGGTTTGGTAGTATACGCGGAAAATAATATCGATATATCAAGCTTTTAAGATTATTATAGAGAACAATAGGTAGCACGTTTTTATTATTTTATTATGATCGAAGAAGGCAGTGTTTCCTTTATTAGTTTATGCATTATATTTATACATTTTCTTCCAAGAGTTTCAACCCCAAATCTTGGGTCCTGAACCATGCATTACCTTATATTAACAAAAAAATAATGCTATAATATTAAATGATTCCAGTCTACTATAAAATTTTTTTTCACTACAATGTCTAATTTTTTTCTTTAATAAGTTTTAAGAAGTATATTCCACTACCGGTTTTTTTTCTTTTAAAAAAGTAAAATAAAAAAAAATAAGTAACAATAAATGCATTTAATACACTACTATTATCGTGTAGTGCTTGCTAAAAAAAACCATTGATATGATAGTATTTAAAAATTCTCTCTGTGTATGCATGTCTTACTATTAATCAAAGAATAATAATGGTATATAATTGATTAATAAAATATAGTAAAGAACTTGTCAACAATGTAACAAAGCGACCATTATTGCAAGATCAAATGTCTTTACACTCAATTTGTCGTTTTTGTTAATTCAGTGTATTTAAAGATGATTATTCAGTAGTGAAAGTTTATCTTGTTCTTTACTTTTGTTTGTCTCATAAGAAGGCTAGCTTTATCGTCCCTCCCGTCCCTGCCCATCTTGAAATGGCTCTGCAAATAAGGGTAGTGATTGGCACTTGGGTTAATAGATTAAATAGTAATGGTAATCAATATCGGGCTCCGCGGCTGCAATAACAGTGTAAGGACCTTTACTTTGTGATAATTGGGCGCCACGGAAATAATAAAATATTGAATCTATATCGAGAGTTCATTATATAACGAAGGTGAATTGTAATTACAAATTATAAAAACCCATTTTTTGTTTTCAAGTTATTATAAAACATAAGAAAAATTGGTCTCTGTATAGACACTATCATCTTAGTTATATTGGTACCAACTCAAATGTAGCATGAAAAAATATTTTTAGAAAAATCAATAATCTCAAAATTTCATCTAAGAAACTACCTTTTGTATATTAACAAAAAAATTCTTTACAAAATTTTGGTATAGTGTTATTTACTATCAATAATTTCATCTAAAATATCACATTTAAAAAAGGAGACATGTGAATTAGGCCAGACCAATTTAACATAACCCCTCTCTATTTTTTTAAATCAAATTGCAGTATTAGTTTTTTATAATTTTTTTACAGAATGGAATTATTGTGTTTTTATTAATTTGTGTGTGTTTCTTTTAATACTCACCCCAATCTTATGAGCTATTTTGAGTTATGTTAAACAGGAAAACAATTTGGAGTAGTCTTAGTACAAATAATCCAAGCTAATAGAACTTGAGAAAATTAATAATTCGTAACTTGGCAATATGAAACAACAATTCTTTCATTTAAATATAAAATTATGTTTGAAACAAGTATTTCTTGATTGAATCGATGCGAACACAATTTTTGGATAATAGCATATTACTGGAAACTTTGTCTAAACTTCTAGATTTTCCCTTGGGTACTTTCTAGAATTCCTCTTGAGTACTTTTATAAATCAACTTGATCAACCAATTAAGCACACTTTAAAGTATTTCTAGGTTGCCGAGTTGCTGAGTATGAGTTATATCGATTAATATGGGTTCATCTTTGTTAATGTGAAATACCTAATACTCTGTCAATCTGTTAGAATAGATTGATATATTCATTTTACATTGATGATTACTACGGCTTTAATCTACATTTAACTTTAATTATCTATTATCTATTATGGCCTATATTTCCGGTATAATTTGTGATTTGTTCTGATTTATTTGAGATAAGAACATGACTTTAATTAAGATAACGATGCAAAGCATCCATTCCCAGGCAATTTGCCTGATAGTTTACGATTTATAAATCAGGTGTTCTCTAGTTTATAGACTCCCAATGTAAAAAGAAATCAGTTTTGTAATAAAAATTTCACAAACTTATATCAAGAGTTTATTAATAATTTCTTTATGTTAATTGGATTTACCGTAAACTGTTTTAAGGCTCAAAATTTGCTATATAGAGTTTCAATTTTTTATCGAACCAGTAGTATTACCAAAACCCATTCTGGCATTGCTGTGATCATGTTTTAATAGTAACATTTAAATCTTTAAAAATTCACCTCCGATAATTACAATTACCTAACCCATACCTGGAATCAATTATTCAATCAAAATTTAATTCATCTTTGGAATCAGATCTCCAAATTATTTTCATGCACATACTGATATTATGATGACGAATTATTTATATATTTTATTTTTTAATTAATTTTACAACTCAATTGCGCTTTATTTTATAAACCGGTTTGACATAATTTTTATATAAGATATAAATAAGTGACGTAAATAAGTTTGCATCGGTAGTATATACATATGATTTATCAATCAATAATCGTATAATTAATTTATAAAATACGAAGCTATAACGCATCACCGTATAAGGCGAAAGTAGCCTTGGACTTTCGAATTAGTTAATTTATTCCAAAAAGTCATTAATTGGATAAAACTTCAAATATTACTATTATAAAGTCAATATGCCAAGAACTGCTAAAAGGGGAAGAAAATCAAATACTCGAAGTGCAAAAAACGAAGAGGCTGCGGGTAAGTATTATTTTATTATTTCAAATTGGAACTTTTTATTTTTTTTTTAAAAAATACTTATGTTGAATAATATCAGAAAATCAGAACGAAAAATCAACTTTTAAAACAAAGTTATCTGAACCAGAGACGCCTAAAAAGCGCCAAAGAAAGGCAAAGAATAAGAATGGTATTAATAATTTATTCTATATACATACTTTTTTTTTTTTTTTGGCGATAGTTTACAAATCATAATTATCTTTAGATGCATCAGAAGAATCCGCTCGTACATCACCTGCATCAGATAATGTCACTGACACAGATTATATACAAGCTAACAATACACGCCTTACGTCTGAGGAAGCAATTCAGCAACCAACAGCAAGTGACGATATAAACGATAAACCAGAAAATAATCAAATTCAACCTCAACTCCAAAAGCAAACATTGGTCCATGTAGATGGTGCCAATAATATACCATTTGCTAATCCTAATCAACCAATGTATTATTTTTTAGAATTACCTTGTGCGAATGAATGTGGAGTTGGTCCTTCAATCGATTCACTTACTGATTCTCCAAATGAATCACTAAAACATACTCGGTCGTTGCATTTGAATCATACACCGTATAAGAATGATTCATTATGCTCTGCAAAGACTTATTTGATAGCTAATCCTCTTTGCGTATCATGTTCTGCAAACCCTCTTTGTGTACCATATCCTGCAAACCCTTTTTGCGTGTCGTGTTCCGCAAACTATGTTCAAAATTATCATGATCAACATATCTGTAATTCTCAAAATAATAATGCAGACTTGAATTTACAATCTCAACAAACGCAAGTGCTTCACTCCCCAGATAATCATAGTAAGAGCACTGATAGTCAAGAATTGACCTTCCCTAATCAAGCTGCGCTCGTTGAATGGTTGCGTACACGACAAGATTTGGTCTTTCAAGCTCAAGGATCATATGTACTTTCTTTTTTATGCCTTATATTATTATTATTCTTATTATTACTGTATTCGAAATTTTATTATTAATTTATTTTAATTATTATATTTATTAGGAAGCTATGATGGATCTAGTTATGGACCAATGCAAGATCCTATTTTTACGAACACGAAACCCTAATGGTGAAACACGCGACACACTTGTCGAAAAAGTTACTTCTTCAATGGATCCTTCACCTGGAGAATTAGTAGAATTGAAAAGGAGAGCACGTGAACACTTTAATAACTTTCGTTCTCATTTTAATAAAGATATGGCATCTTTAGCTAATTCTTTATTACTAAAAAAGTCGTATGTATTTAAAATGTATTATGTTGATTTATATAGTATTATTACGTAATTAATTCGGTCTTTTTTTTTAATAGCGATCCAACTGATGATGATGTTAAAAAATTCGTTGGGGATGATGTTTGGAAACAAAAGCTCAACAGATTTTTAGATGCCAGTGATTATTGCGAATTTCAAAAATCTACTTCTTTCAAGTCACTTAAAACATTTGTGATTGAAAGTTTAAAGATTCATATTGCATATTTGATTGCTATTCGCAATCAAAGAAAACCTACTTATCAAGAAGAAGTCCTGAATAAGATTAAATTGCTCGATCGACTTACTGCACATATGACTATTCCAGCCGCAAACGGGTATAATTATGCAAATGAGTTGGATCTTAATATGAAATCTGATAATAACGATTGCTAATATTTATATATTATGTACTCGAGTTCTTGTATTCATTTCAATATTCATTTCGCTTAGATTTATTTCGCTTAGATTTTTAATTATGTTTAGTTGAGTTGCTAGTTGAATTAATAGCTGTTATATTTGCAATTTAATATAAAATTTTATTTATCACATTTTAATTTATAATAATAAAATCTTTTTTAATCATTATACTGTACATAATATTTTACAGTGTGCGATGATCAAACAAATATTATGCACAAATTTTAATAAGGTACGTACGTACATCTTATCTGTTATCTACAAATATCTTATCTATTAAGATTTAGGGTTTCTCTGTTTCTCTTGGCGGCAATCATATACTGTAATCGGCTTTTTTATGGCCTGCGAAATTTCCGAATTCGTGTAACGAGGTTTATTTAATTTGGAAAGCTTTAAGGTTTCGGAAAATTTTAAGGTTGTAGAAAAATTGATGGTTGGACAATTAAGTCATGATGTTACACGGAACTAATGTATGTGTACGGAAATCACTCCGTAACATTCTGTAACATTCTATAACATCTAACGTAATAACGATAAATCTAAATTTGCAATCTTGGTTTTCATGTACCTTTTTTCCTGAAATTATTTAAACAACATCACTATATTACTTTTTATATCAATAAATTTTTTATAAAGCAAAAAGTTATGATTAATTTTTATATTATATCAATAAATTTTTTATAAAGCAAAAAGTTATGATTAATTTTTATATAATATTACATAGTTTTGATTTACATAGGTAGCCGAATACGTATCAATGAATCAATCTAAAATTAAATTGACTTATTTGTATAGTAGTTGCAAAATTAAGAACTTTTCAGCATTATAATTATAATTATAATACAAAAATACCTTAAACTATAATTCATAATTCAAAGAAAATAAATATCGTTAATTGTAAAATGTTTGTTAATTGGCAATAACAAATGAATAAGAAAGTACCAATACTATATAATATTGAGATGAAATCATAAAAAACTGAAGTAATTAATGAAAACTAAAAAAAATTATAATTAATAAATATTAAAAAGAAGTGAGCTTAATAAACTTTGATAATATTTGTTTTCTCTTAAAAGATCCTTTAATTTAAATTATTTAGTTAAAGGATGAGCCCGAAAATAATGTGGTTGCAAATTGGTCATCTTGGGAGGGATTTGTTTGATCTTCTACTCTTTGCTCTCCAGAAAACGTTCTTGCGCCTTCAACCAACTCTGTATAAAGTTGGTCAATGTTGAGAGAGTTGTTAGCTGAATTCACGTAAATTACTGCATTTTGAAGTGTTTGGATCTGTTGGGAATTCATGATGGTGAAGTAATTATATTATGCTGATATTTGATTTATTTTTTGCTGGTGTTTATTATTTTTTTTTCAAAAGAATTTTTTTTTGAAAAAAAATATGAATGAACTGAAGTCATCTTGGTCAAGAATTAAGCTTTATATACATTTTGAGATTAAAACTATTTCATAGATCAAGTACTATGTAAGTAATACTACTATGTAGGTAATACTACTACGTGTAAATCTACGTATAAATCACGTATAATTCAATTGACTAATAATTTGATGTTATTAATACGTCATCTATATTATACATAATCCATTTTTACAGTGTACGATATAACACAATCTTGTATTTGTTATTACACCGTTTTAGTGAGATAAATTTGGTTTCGTTTAAAGCAATTAATATGCTTAAAAATTGGTTTTAAATGTATGAAAATGCACCGTTAATGCATTGTGTTCAACATTTAGATTTCTGAATTAATAATTAATAATTTAGCTTAACAAAAATAGAATTGTAACACAACATTTACGCACGGATGTACGTACGTACGTGGTAATATAATTGTTTCAAGTAGATCCAATTGCAAGAAAGGGCATAGATCCGAGATTTCATAACGTTAACTGGCTCCATCTGCAAGAGTTACCATATGGAAAAAGTATATTTATGTACTACAATCTATTAAAATATTTGTTATTAATTTTAGCAACAAACATTCTATTTTAGTTTTTTTTTTTTTTTATCACAAAGAACAATTATGGCACATGTTTCTGAAACATTCAAAATGATGAAACTTTTCATAATTTATTTGGCTACGCAAAGTTAATTTTTCGTTTTGCTTAATATGAAATCGTCTGCGGAAAGATTTTTTTCTGCCTGTCCTATCGGACAGTTACGGATCTATCGGGTAACACCGGATCAAATTATAGGAACAAAAATCGAATAATTGGAACCATTTGAAACTTAAAAAAAGTTTTTTTTTGAAAAAAATAAAAACATGTGTGTGGCCTTATTTATTAATAATACCATATTAATGCTAAGGAATAAATATTATACTTAAAGCTATCTAATCAAACATCAATATAAAGGGATTTGATTGTATAGCAATATTATAATAGGACATATAGGTAGGCCGATGCGCCATGATTCATTAGGGTTGTGCGTCAACTAAGTAAATCAAATCTATATCAGGCTTTAACATTCAATTATTAAAATTATTTTTTTAATTAAATTTTGTATCATATATTTATTATGAAATAAATATGAAAACAACTTAAATTTCTTTTAGATGCACAGGTTGAATTTTTTTCTTTTTCAAAGTTTTCTAAAAACTAAAAGTTTCTTACGCAATACTACTGTACTATTACAAAGTTACGAAACCTTCTTTTAAATAATATTATAAACGTTTGGTCCAAATCTATTATTTTGAATATAGTCTGATGTTTCAATATAAAATTTAAGCCGAGTTGTAATTTTTTTATATTTAAATATAAAAAATTGCCTCGTAACTTTTCTCATAGAGACTTAATATTAATTCTTTCAAAATATTACTTTGAATTTTGGTACGGTTAGAGCTGAGCATCTACGTATTTTTATTATATAATTAGCAATGGGTATATACAAATCATATAAGCACCGATTTTGACTAATATCACAATTTACTTATTTGACGTGGCAATTAAATTGTTAAACGAAAAAATTTATACCTAATTTTTATATGATACCATATATAGTTGATTTACTTAGTTGACGCACAACCCCGATGATTCATGCGCATTCATTTGTAGTAATTTCAATTCTAACTTTGAACGATGATATTCCAATAACAACCTAACTAAAATTCGATAAAAAAATCATCTTTGAATTTTATATATTCTTATAGATTAAATAAAAAAAAAACCCAGAATTAATTAAATGATTATGCTCAAAGTATAGGAAATTTAAATTACATGAAGGGTATGAATAATGGCCATCTTCAATAAAAGAGCTACGTAACTTGTTTCAAACATTTAAATAAGAACATTAACTAGTGCTCCGCACAATCAAATCAAATTTTAAATTTGAATCAAATATTTAACCAAATTAATTAAAAATTTGAGCAAATATTTGGTTCAAATTCAAAATTTGATTTGATTTTGCGGTGTACTAACATTAACTCCTAAAATAAATATTTCTGCGAATGGTATAAACAATAAAGAAATTTTAATGAAATAATATTTTTGCAAATAATACAAACTTAATATGTAAAGATGAGGATTTCCTAGCTAGGGCGTTATGGCATTTTGAAGGAAATAATGAATTTCTATAAATAAAAATTCATTCTTATCATTTTTCTCATAAATTCTAGAACAAATGAAAAATTTTCAGGCAACATAATCGATAAGTTATGGCAGTTTTATACACGGGACAGTTGAGATAAAATTGTGACAAATTTGAGATTTTAAACAAATGTCAATAACTCAAGATTTTATTAAGACTACATTCTTTTAGCTCATAAATAAAAACGCTTAAAATTTAATCTTACATATATTCTATTATTGTTTTAATATAGCTTATCAAGCTAAGAATTGAGAAATTGATGATACAAAATTGGGATGTCCCGGGACAAGTTGGGACGGGACACGTTTGGAATAGTCAAAAATGTACAACACTGAGTTGCGATGTTGGAATCAACAAGTCACCAATGTTGACCGGAATCAGGAATTTCTCGATTCAGTTTTAGTAATCTTTTTTTACTTATCCCGAACAACTATAATTATTTGGCTGATCGACTAACGCCAAATAGGCTATACCGATAAATTTATCGGGTTCCCCTAGAGCTAGAACAAAGTTATTTGTATGAACGGAACACCCGAATTATCTGTCATAGAGATTGTATCCATCAAGAAAATTTCTACCCGGCTATTATTAAATTATTCGGTTATCCGGGTAATTTATTATACCATATAATAAAAATGTTCAATTTCTAATCTGTCACACAATTCGTGATCATCTTTTGCAAGTTATTGGCTGACGGAATTTTAAATTGCTTTATTTCATAACACAACAGATAAAATCCATTTTCCAAAAGTTTTTGTACGATAAGTACTTACTATTTATTTTTACTTATCCGGATTATCCGACAATTACTTGTTAGGCAAAACCATGGATATAGTCGTATCTCACCCCTAGCATCCCTAACCTAGTTATGTTTTAAAAATAGGTGATTATTATTATATGTGTAAATTCAGATTTAATGTTTAAATAAATTTAAAACACCCTAATTACAGTCGTAAATAATGATCGATCAGGATCATCGAGGTTCTCTGACCATTTTCTTTTTTTCGGATTCGCACAAATAAATACACGATCTACAACCTTAAGATACAGATAGGAGAATGCATATAATGCCGAAAATGCGCATTTTGCATATCTTTAGGACAATGAATATAATGTATTTGTATAGGGATCGTCTAAAAGTCAAGTAGTAATTTATATGCCACACGTGACTGTTACTTTACAAATTTATTATTAATCAACGTAAAAACCAC